TTTGGTCATTTTAACTCAGCTTTTTGGGTTTTCAAGTCCAAAATTTGTGGTTTCGATGACCTTCAAGCAAGCAGGGGCAGACGTAGCTGCTATCTGTAAAGATGTGAGCAACGATAAAAAGCAATTCAAGCTTACCGTGGTATTTTTAGCGAGGTGTTTGTCTATACTGTTATATAACGCCATTTTATGGGGCTAGTAAAGAATGCAGACCATGCCTTAAAAAACAGCTGCTTTCAACTATGCTGCATCGTGTAGACTAGATGTCGAACAGACCAGAAGACTGGAATTTTGGTAGACAGTGCGATGCTTCTCTCAGTGACCACTGTCCAGCAAGCAGTGCGTGTATATATGTGTATATACGCGTGGTGTGTGTGTGTATGTGTATGTGTGCTGAGATCGCAAGTAATGAGGTTAGAGTTTTATTCGATACTCCACCAATAAGTAATACATTAACGGTTGTTGCAAACTGTTACGTGAGATCACCGGGATATCAGAGGGGCTGGTGGGGGAACATGTATCACTACTACTTTGAGGAAAAGTTTGATGCCGTCGCGTCAGTCACCAGTGTTAAAAGGAGTGGGGAACTTTTATCTATCAAAAAGTCAGGCGCAAAGTTCATTCGACTTGGCGTTTTTATTTCGGCCCAAGGTAACATGATACATCGGTGCGCATTTTTGGTCCCTCGTTTGCACCGCCACCGGCACCGCCGCCACCGCCGCCGCCGCCACCGCCACCGCCGCCACCGGTGTCATCAGTACCTGCAAAGCAGCACTTGTATGATCACATTATTTCACAGCAGCTATCGCATCACATCATGTGGCATGTCATTTATATCATGTTTAATATCTCCTTTATTCAAACATCATGACTAATATCTTCATCCAGTTTTTTAATATAATTTCGTATTTTAATTGATATTTTAATTAATATCTCTATTACCAGCGCTATCGCCGCCGCCACCACCACCAGCAATTACAAAGACCAACCAGGCAGTACGTCAGATGTCACTAACGAAACAGCGACAAAATGAAGGACCATAACAGGATACCACAGTACTTACCTCCGTAAGAATATTCTCGCTGATAGTTGAAATAATAACCGCCTCCACCATAGTCATAGCCGCCTCCTCCTCCACCGCCCGTAGAGCCACCGCCTCCACCGCCACCGCCACCGCCGCCACCGCC